TTTCTCTTTCACAGCAAAGCATCTTAGATAAGAATGATTCAATCAGACAGCTCTTAGTGGGATGTTAATGTGAAACAAAAATGCATTACAAGTGTTATCCTTGTTCCATCAGGCACATTTCAAAATACTCTGACAAAAGCAATTAATTGGTTTACACCACAATGTTTAAAAATAAACCAATGCAATTGTCCATCTCTAATGCCTTTCAACTCTCCTACCCTGCCTGTGGCTCTAAACCACCAGTAGAGTGGATGCCTGCTGAAAATGCATCCAAAATATTTTTTAAGTAATGTAACGTAATTTTCCTAAAATGCCTTATACAAATTCAGTGATGCCACTTCTTCCTACAAGAACAAGTCCAAAACCATTCTTTCTGAATTCAGCAGGTGTGTCCATAATGAGGTCCAGGGTTTAGTTGAACTTTACCAGATATCAAAAATAATAAAATAAAGAATCAACACTTAAATGTGCTCTAGGATGCGACCTTCATTCTACTACCTAAACAGTCAGCAGGATAGTGAGAGGATTTTAATTAATTCCTCTAGAGAGTTTAAATGTAGGGTAGACAGTGTCGACATGGAGAGGAGCTATCAAAAACAACAGAAGAGCTGCACGGTCACACACAGCAAATCGTAGCTGAGAGTACCACAGCATTTGAACAATGTCTCAGGCAATAAGCCAGTATATGCTTCAGTGGGGAGGCCATGTTTCCCACACACCACAGCACACAACTAGACAAACAAAAGGCAGCTATCAAAACACCCCAGGAAAAAGTACACACACAAGATTGGCCTAAAGTAGATCTCAATCACACAAATGATTTTCTACACTTGTTGCAATATTCACGTCAATAAGCATCAAACATTAAAATTTACAAAAATGCACCCACAAATGCCCACAAACAAGCACACCCTACATCAAAACCGTCAGTCTCTAGCCTGATACAGGAACAGTACACCTAAAAAAACCATTTCGAAGGTGGAATCAAATCACTCACAAAGGGAAGGCATAAAAAAGCACATTTTTGTCATATGTATTACTAAAGGAGGAAACAGAAGCACAGCCATACCCAGGATGTTTTACGAACAACCCTGCCCGGCCCTCTCCTCACTCACTTCTATGGTTAAAGTAAATCAATACTCCCTCAGCCACACAAAATGACCTCTGATGTGCTTTCTAAATCATTGTTTTCTAAGTAGAGGAAAGGAGAAAGCACATTTCCCACCAACTGGTTTCTTTCCATTTATGAAAACCTATCACCATTTTACTGTTTAAATGAAATACAAATTGCTTGATTACACTATTCGACCAAAGCCATCAAAGTTGAATTACAGCACCTCTGTTATTGCTACGCTTTCAACAGACAGCTTTATAACATATGCAATCTATTCATTTAATAACATAAACCTCAGTCAGTAAATAAAACGAAACATTCCCTGACTGTGCACATTGTTGACATTTGACATTAGAGTGACAATTTAAGTCAACTGAATAATATACAGGGCTCATTTTTATGACTTCAGCCTAAATGAACAGATAACATGAAATATTGCTTTTATGGTTGCATTTCATTAAACTGCTTTTCTCTAGCCAAACGTCATCTAGGCACCAGCCAGGGAGAGAGGCCGTAGAGCCCAGACTTCAATTTATTGACTGTCATGTATTAGTGGTTGCTGACTGTGTATTGCATGTGGTCCAACAAATGTCGTGAGCCTTACCCGGTGTCCTTATTTCCTTGTTTCCATCTGTCAGTTTGCCTGGTTACCTTCTTGTTATTCTGAGAAACTGTTAGATGTTGCATCAGTAAGCAATTTGTAGAACAAGGAAACAAGGAGAATTGTGAAAGGCCTGAAACAAACAAAAAAAAGTCACCCTGTCTGCTCACAACCCTTTTAGCAGTTTGACAGCACTTCAGACAGTACTTCCTTTTCTGTTCTTTCACTTTTCACGGCATTAATATAGGAATGCACTGCACATTCATATCTGTCAAATTCTGTCTCTTAACTTGAAGAAAATCAAAATGACATCGCATGCTGCTAGTACTACTGGAAACCGTAGATACACACACACACACACACACACACACACACACACACCTAAATGCCACAGTGGGGCTTCTGCGTCACACCCGCCGCCACATTACCTCAGTCTAGCCGGTTCGAACAGAAAAGGTCAGAGTTTGAAGCTACTTTTGGATGTGTTATTTGAAGAAATGCCAAAACCAAGCAACCAGCATTGCATTACTTGAGTCCAGGACTCACATTGAGGTCCAACTTGAGTCCAGATTTTCAAGACTTGTGGCTCGACTTGAACTTGAGCACCGATGACTCGGACTTGAGCATCGACTGCATTCTGACTCAGAAGTTGGAGACAAGGACTGGCATTTTTTTGTAATTGGCCGTAATAATTTGCCCCAAGATACTCTTATTAAAACCTGTTCACCCCCAGGTTGGCAAAATCTCAGATTGTGATTTTTCCTTGTTTTTTCATTAGTAAAGAGCAGTGAACAAAAGATTCAGCTAGGAGCTTCTCACTTTTAGCCAGCGCTGACCAGCAGTCTCACATCGAACAGGTATAACAGTTATTTCAATATGTGACATACAAATCAACATCCAGGTAAATTTAAAGCATCAGATCAGACTATAATTCAAACTTTTTTTAGTTTATATTAAAAATATCTAAATAGTTCAGAGAGAGAGAGTCTGTGCATGGTACTGCAGCTACAGGAGTTTCAGTACCATCCACAGCACCACGGCTCATCAGAGATGCATTTTGATCAACCAGATCAGCACTTGGGAGACAACTGTCTGACTAGAGATGTACTTGTACCAAGCAATGGACACTAGGACTAACTACAGGGAGTGCACGGGGCCAATCAAACCATAGCAGAGGCAGTAACCTCCTCTGGCCTCTCACTGTGCACACCGCTGTACAGGTCTGATAGATGATTTTCATATTTAGTGACAGAATGTTTGCATATTTCTACTGAACTATAAGACATGACTTCCATCTTGAAGGCAATATTCTGCATGCAAGGGGAGATTACCGACATCATAATAATGTGTTTTTCTTCTGGCACTGCACAAAATACTGGGAGACCGACGAACAGGATACCACCTCTGTCTGCGGCCCAAACAAAGCAAACACAAAATTTCCTCCCAATACCACTGGGACTGATTTCGCTATACACATCAGCGTGCATACTGATCACACCCATATATAAACTACTTTCTGCTGGTGGTGGTAAGTTTTGTTTATACGTGAATTTGAATTGCACTTCCCCTGTGAACATGACTCAAAAAAAAAAAACAAAACAGACAGGGTTTTGTTTTCAGGCTTTGTAAAGTGTGTAACAAGCACACATACAGTACAAACACACAGGTACAATGTCAGTGCCATGACCCTGGACTCGAGGTTTATTTATTTCATCCTGAACTGACAGTTTTGTGCTGCTCTGCATGTCGAAATCCTGCCTGTTACAGTTAACATCATAGGCATCCGTAAAGCTAAGAGACCAACTATGTTTCCACAAGTTAAGATTACATCTATCAAATCGAGGGTGCTGGATATCAAGAATTTAAGTGGGAGACCAAGTTTGCCCATTGCTCTTTTCTCCAATATCCCTCTAGCTTCAGCTCCCATCTGCATCTAACACCACTTTCCTGTTTGACCCACTTTATAAGACAGAGACAACGACAAAGAGAAAGAGACAGAAGGAAAATGAGATGAGAAAAAAAAACACCAGCGGAGGAGAGCGGGAGAGTTAAAGCAGACACAGTGACTAAAAGGGAGATGCAGAAAGTGTTGAAGACAGAAAAAACGGAAAGATGAAGACGTGAGAAAGTGGCAATAAGAGAGAGAGAGAACAACAAAGGTACAGAGGGGGAGAGGAAGAGAAAGGAGTAAACAGGCAAAGCTAGAAAGGCACTTGCGAAGGAGGGGAGTGGGCTGAGCAGCAGGGAGGAGGAAAGCTCTCCTTTCCTAATAAAGAGTGCATGTGAAAGGAGGTGCAGATCAGATTGAGCAGAGCCGTGTTACACAGAGAAAAGAGAGGGTTAGAGAGATAGAGCGAGAGAGAGAGAGGCAAAGAACAGAAAGAGCATTGTGTTGCTGCTGAGGAAGAGCCCATGTCTGCACAAAGAGGTAGGTGTACTGTTAGAACTTACACACACACACACACACACACACACGAGTACGAAATCCTCACCACCCAGTGTACCCAGCAGGAGTATCAGGTGAGTGCGTTTTCTCTTCCAACTGTGTGACTTGCTTTACTGCATGTAGCAGCTGTGCAGCAGTGTGGGGCAGGTGTGTGACTTTTTCCACATCATGTGCCTGAGTACGAGCAGGAAAAACAGGTGCCTGGATGTGTGATCGCTTGTGGGATTCAGTGGGTAATTGAGGGTCCGTACAATTATGTCAAGGAGGAGATACACATTGCAATACCATGTGAGGTTTATGATAGGCAAAGTGCACATGACCGGGTAATGGTACAAGTCGTTTGATGGTTGGTTAAACTTTAATTGCCAATATATATCTGACAATGGGATTCAAGTTGGTATTTACGGTTCCAGCAATCATATTTGATATCGGTATGAACGAGAATAGCCACAGCATTTGTTGACAAGTCCAATGCATACAAGTGCAGAGCTTCCTAAAAAGGTTTGTTTTAGGCTATGTACAATAGGTTTCCATAAATTCAAGAAGCTGACGTTGTTTGGTGACTGATACCTTAAGTGTCGAGATAAGGCAGCCTGCTCCCCATGTAAATGAAGAGTACACCGAGTCACCACTGTAGGAATAAAATTAAACATGTGGCTCTTGAGTCCAACTAAATTTGATCTGAAATAGATATGACTGTGTTTGCTCGAGGTCAGGGCACACCAGTCCAGTGTCAGACAAACAGACACACTTCCTCTCACTCCTCATCATGAGACACCATTTAGAGGTTCCTTTTTGGCAGGAAGTGACAGACAATGCAGTTTCACAAGAGCTGAACGAGAATAGAACTGCAAAGTGAACACTGCCATCTCTTTCAACATGCGAAACAAACTAAAGTTGGCCTGACAACGTTAAGCAAGAAGTACAATGACAACGCAAGGATGCTGTGTTCTGAGGGTGGTGGTGGTTCTGCATTATGCTGATTTTTCCTTATTCCTTCCATCTGTCCTTCCTTGCATCCTTTCATCTATGATCTTTTTCCCCCTAAAAGCGCAAAAATCGAGATCTGGATCCATGTGTACTTCAACTTTGGACACCTATTACTTAAAAGGAAATTAATGGACTATTTGCAATTGAGTATTTTTCTGCCATAATCTTGATAAGTTTGCTTAACTAAGAATTTACATCCTTGTTTCACCATGACTGAAGGCTGTAAAGTCCATAAATCTTGCTCTGTCATTAATATTGTTTCTTACGATTCTGCCTGCCAGTGTAGTGGTGCTATTTCATGAGATGCTCCTATGGGCTGGATGAGAAGGAAGGGACCACATGGGTCATACAAGTCAGAGGACCTGTTGTCAGCATTCATATACGCGTGTCCACACACCGGCTTATGTACATTAAGAGCCTAACCACAAGAGCAGCACAACAAACATAAGCCCTCTTTAAAAGGATGGTGTTGTCTCTCCCTGCCATCATTATGAAACCACAAATTTGATCCCTAGCTGTGTCACCCTTTGACTCATCGCTGAATGTAAAAGTAATAACCCCTCTCAGGATCTAGTGATTGAAAATGCCCTCCTTTCCTGTTTTGCATGGAGATTTATTAGCAGCACACTGTACAACATCAGGGGTGAAGCCTCTTATGTCAAAGATTATAAAACTTAAACAAGGACATGACTGAGCTTCCACATATTACCAGACTCTACTCAAGCTGTGTGCTTCTCTGTAACGTTAAATCAAACTATTAACATTTGCCTTTACATGTGTGTGGTAATATGTTTGAATAAGCACTTACTCTCAGTTGACAATTTATTAGGTACACCTAACTTAAAGTAATACAATCTAACAACAGTCCTGCAACAAATCCTCCTTTCATGAAGGAGATGATGTTCAGTTAGAGGTGTTGAGTCATTTATGTGGCTGAAGTTTGTGCTGTGTTAAACTTTACTGCATTATCCAGAGAGGAGCAAACTGCCAACTCAGCGTGTACAGTATGTGTTTTACTTTTGAGCTTGTAAAAGTTTGAACTGTAGACTGGGTTTTAGCAAAATGTCTGGGTCCATGTAAACATTCCAAGGATTAAATCACAGTTTAAGGATAATAGAATAAATGCTGTTTAGGGTCATCAAGAGGCAAGAAGCATGTGTGTTTAGCTGTAAAAATGGCTTTGTACTATTGATGTTATGTGTCCGAGCTGTTGAACATTGCTTGTGGAGGTAAATGATCCAAAAGGGGTTCATCTAAATTCTCCCCTCTGGCAACAGATGTTAATGTTAAATCTAAAGTCTCCCTCCTACACCGCTTATTAATTTCAAGGTTCCTGATATGTAAATGCTAGCTGAAACATTTATTCTTTTTTTTTTTCTGGCTATGCATCACTAAAATATCTGCATTCAACTTATTAAATGATTCATCTAAGATGGAGTGAAAGCAAATGTTACAGTTTTCACATTTCTCTAATCTTTTTCCCACCACTCTCTCTCCTTATGTCAAAGTCTAAACCAGGGGTGGCCAAGTCCGGTTCTCATGCGTGTTCAGTCAATCAGAAGCTGGAATTCACTTTGTCCTTCCTCATTCTACCTTCATCTAAGATGGTATCTTCTAGCTTCTGACTGACTGAACACACCTAATCTAGGTAATCAGCAGTGGAAAGGGCAGGGATAGTTGGAAAACAGGCAGGGCGGTAGCTCTCGAGAACCAGACGCCAACCCCTGGTCTAAACCATCCCTCCCTCGCTTTAACAACACATTGTGTTTACAAAAGATCAGGAATTAAATCACTGGAGCGCGTTTGCAATGGCCCTGTGTCGACCCGTGGGTGAGTAAAGATCAAGACCTGGTTTTAAGGTTACTATCAGACACAGTTTAGGACAGGTCAAAGGTTAGGGGCTAGGCATGCACTTTGTGATCATAACGTCAGTAGCTCTTCAGAAAGGTACTGTACAAGTTTTGTGTTTGTGTGACCAAAAAGCATGTGCTCCAGTCTGTGATGATGATCCAAGAGCTACTGTATAATTTCATGCACATAACATGCTGCTCAGGTAAGCCCTGTTTTCTGTCTCAACATGAGCGCTTGATTTGATTTGATTTATTTATTCTTTCAAACATGTAAAGACAGTTGATATATCAACACATAATTTTACACATATCCAACAAATGCTAATCCAATATCAATTTGCTTATACCTAGTACATGCTTGAATGGAGTAGGAAGAAGTCAGACTTATCCAGTCCTACCCCATGACATCATCTTACCATCATTGGTTTGCAAGCAGTATCTCTACATAAATAATTATCCTCTACACCACACAAGTAATATACTAAAAAAATTATAACAGAGTGTTAACATTCTTACATAATTACATTCTTAAATAATTATCTTCTACACCACACAAGTAATATACTAAAGAATTATTACAAAGTGTTAACATTCATACACCACACCCACAATGTTCCATCTAATTAATCATTAAGCCTGTTCTTGCATATATCTTGATTGACACATACCTTTATATTTATGTTTAAACTCATCAATTCTAGTACTATTTTTT